AACTTTTTGAAAGAGTGTTATTGATTCACTCCAAAATGAGTTTGCCTTGTCAAGGGTTTGTGGTTATATATAAGATTATTGTTGTCCTGTCAAGGTTATGAAAAACTATATATATATATATCATATGTCATGCTAAGGAAACATAATTTTAAGTATAAAATAAAAAGATTTAAGTTCAATGCCTATATTATTATTTTATGGATAAAAAATAATGTCTCACTATAATTTCAAAGACATAGATAATTTTTTTAAAGATATTAGATAACTATTCACTTGCATGTAGAATATTGTAAACAATAATTTAAAATATATTTTTAGAAGTTTTTTTATTTTTTTATTTTTAATTTTGTTAGTGATAGTCATAAATATTAAATTGAGAATGGATAATGATTTCAAAAATTAAATAAGAGGCGTTTCGATAAAAGGATAACAATTTAAGAATTCTTAACAATACGAACTCTAAGAGAACTTAACTTTTATCCTGACCCAAAACTTTTAATGAGTGTAACCTATTTGTTGTCAAAAATCTTTTCTCCTTATATGTGTGGTACCATATTATGGATACAAATATTTTCTTCCGATTTCAATCTTTAGAAATACGTGTTGATTCCCTTTTCTATAACGAGCCTATACAACATTTATAATTCTAATCGAATTTGTACAAGAATCACGAGAATTACGACCTTAATTAGTCTTAGAAAATCACTTCAGTAAATATCCTGTGAGTAACCCTAGATTTAGCCTATTCTGTCATATGACAATTTGGAAAGTATATGATCCTCCATGTTCAATCATTAAAGACAAAATGAGTCTCTGTTTATCTTACTCGATTTATTAGAAATTTAGAAGGTACTTAGTATCTAAACTCATGCGTTGATAATGTATAGAGACTTAGATTGGTCAGTTCAATTGAAGATCTAGAAGGTACAAGAAATTATTTCTTATTTATTATATTTTTATCTCTCTTCAATAATAAAGTAATAATCCATTATTATTTAATATTTATCTAGTTATATAAGAATATAATTGAAAATTGGTTATTAATGTCATCTTAAATTGTTAAATGGACTAATAAATAACACATTTTTTCTCGTTTACTAAGCCGAAAAGATAAAAACCAAAAGAAAAATGGAAATAATATTAAATATTTATTTAATATATTATATGTTTTTTAATTCTTATTTCTTTATCATTTAATGCTACCCGTTATTTAGAATCCTGCTAACCTTAACTAACTTCATTCATTTATGCTCCAATTAATCAATACCAAACATTTCCTTACAAAAATTAATTGTTTCATATGTAGAAATAAACCAGGAAAAAAGTGGTACTTAAGAATTTTTTTTTTCTTTTTCCAAATGTACATTCTCAGCCATTAAAATTATGTTAGCACATGGGAGCTGCCAAGATTTATATTAGGGACCATTAATCAATTTTATATCTTCATCCCATTGAAAGCATGCTTCGAACTTCATCAACTTCCTCGAAAGCAAAATCGGACCAATGCCTTTTTCTTTCCTTTTTAATCTTTCTTGCAGTGTTTATGTCCCCTTTGCAATTACCGGTGCAATATTCGGTGGCATCATGAAAATAGTTTATGGCTTATTTATATCAAGAATATATTAAACAATCTTTCCATCAAAAAATAGATCAAATTAAGACTTTTAATAAAATTAGATTTAACACCATTTAAAAGTATAATAAATATAACATATCAATTTATTTAAATAAAAATAAAAAATATTTAATATTATTATATCAACTTTATTATAATATTTTAAAATCATATATTTGTTTGTTTATTTAAATAATATAGATAATTTATTGGAGAATAGGTAAAAATTATATATTCTTATTAAACTTAATTAAGATGTATCGGAATAAAAGGAATTTTATAATAATTATCTTAAAAGACATTATATAATAATTTATAATTAGTTGATAATATTAATTTTTTTATAACGGTAGTACGTGACAATTAAACTTCATCCTTAAGAGAGAAAAAAGTTATATTCATATAATTTTTTTAAATATTTTTTACAATATTATATTTTCTCTCTCATTTTTTTTTTATATCATATCACTCATCGTATCTTATCACATGTATACTTCATTCCGTTCTTTCCTATCTTTCCTTTTGTGAAAAAGAGTTACAAGACTTTAGTTTTAAAGATAAAATTCAAAGGAAAAAGAATCCGTTT